AGGCCAATTAGACGCGGTGCGTTGATGACGATGATGTTGCTTTGGTTGTACCACGTCTCAACAAATTTTTTGCGCATTCCCTTCAGCTGGCTTGCCTCTTTGGCGGCTCGATTATTCTGCTCCGATCTCCATCATTCGGGGCGGACCAACCAAGTCGTGGCACACGCTACAAAAAGTAGGGGGCTGGCAGGCAGGTGTGAAGGTACGTCGTATGTAGCATTTTCAGCAGGTTTGGATGCATGTGTACATATGTACATTGGTGATGGTGATGACGATGAAAAACGGGGAAGAAGAAGCATTCGTCAAGAAGCCACCGGCCAGAGTCGTTCTCGCGTTGTGCAAGAAGCCTCGACCGGTGCTGTCTCCGTCCCAGCTTGGCGCAACTGGGAAGAGATCGAAAGATTGGACGAAATGCCGTGCCACGCGCGGCGCCGGCGGAAGCAGCAGCAGCAGCAGCAGCATGAATTGTCCAGTGATGTACACGGTAGGAGCACAGTGTCTCTTCTTTTTATCTGCGTCTGCGCGGGATACGAGGGGTGAAGTATCTTGGGCCAATCAGTGCGGGTCTTGCAAGAGCTTCGATTGTGTCACGGCCTCTTCAGGTGAGTGCTGGATGTGACGCACCGCTGGTGAGAAGAAAGTCAAAAACATCTCAATGATGGGGTGCGAGAGGTCGGTCCGACGCACAACGACGTCGTCTCTAAATGAAAACAACGGACAATATTCCTCTCTTGCAGGACTCTTCGACACGAGCGATTTCGACAAAAATCCGCACATACCTTCTGTACCTTCTGTTGTCAGGAGTATTCCAATAAAGATAGCTACTGCCTCTTCCCAGACGGTTGCAAAATTCAGCACCATGCGTATTAAACAAATAGATCTTTTCAACACAAAAACAGTATCAATCCTTTCCTAAGCCATGACAGCTCCCCATCCCGCAAGCAGTCCTCAACAGGAAGCTAAACAATCCGACATAAAAACACTAGACGAAGGACCCACCACGCATTTCCCCCCTCCAGTAGACAAAAAGTCAATCGAGAAAAAAACCGAGGATAAGAAATTCCACTACTCTTTAATTTAGCACCTACACGTTACCTAGCCTTTCTATACTTCTCATCCTCCCTAAAGTACCTAGTAAGCGTAGGGTAAAAGGCTAGGGGTACTAGTAGAGGTTGCCTATCTATTATACTAATCCTAGATTAGTAGATAACTTAAGAAATCTATAATAGATACCGTAATAGTTCTTATATATATTATATAGGATGAAAGGAGGGTAGAGCGTAAGACCTTAACCCTTTTCCTTAATATATATAGTACTTTTAACTATATAGCTTATAAGTAATAGGGAAGATTAGTCTACTAACATCCCTCCTTATATAGGTTTATATATTTACTAATAGTAGATAACTCTAGATCTCCTTTAATAGCTAGAGAGAAGACCTCTATCTAATAGTATTAGAAATTCCCTAAGAGAGCCTAGCCTTACTAATACTCTTCCTAATTAATATATAAAAATTATTTACCTCTTAATTAGTAAGGTTTTAATTATATATTAATAATATTTTACTTCTAGTCTTCTCTATAAGTTAGAAGAAGAATGCCTATATTCTTTAAAGAAAAGCTAATAGGCTATTCTTACTTAGGGCCTAGTATAATATTAACTTTAATAGAGATAAGACTAACCTTATCTATTTTACTAACTTAGATAAAGCTAGAAGAGTAACTATTATACTTCTAGAAGATTATCGCGATAGCTAATAAGCTAGACGACGCTAGTAATACGAGTATACTACTATATAATTACTTAATAAGCCGAAGCTAATTATAACTAAGCCGCGTAAACTAGCTAAGCTAAGTAAGCCGGCTATACCGATAAATAATAATACTACTAAGGCTATATAGCCTACTTAGTAACTAATAGAAATTTACGCGAATAATAAAAAGATTAATTCTTTTATCTATTATAATAATATAACTAAAGTAGTAATTTACGTAGTAAGAAGAGAGTTTAGTTCTTATTTTAATCGTTTAGATTTTATTTTACTTCTTATATAAATATATATAGAAGATAGTAGAGTATATAGTATCTTCTATATTTATAATAATTAATAAGACTTTACTTAACTTTATCTTTCCTCTACTTATAAGCCCTATCCCCCTATTATCCCTACTAATTATTATACTAGGCCTAATTAAGAAATAGTATACTATACTAAAGAGAACTATCCTAGTAGATACTTCTAAACCTAACCCTACCTACTAAGGAAAAAGGACTAGGTTTAGATTTTATCTAAACTTTAATACTACCTAGAAGGTAATTAATATAGCTCTCTCTTACATCCTATATATAATAAACCTTATATATAATATAGGTAAAAAGTAAAGACTCTATAACCTTAGTAACATCCTATAGGATTATACTAAGATAGGTCGCGTAGGTAATATATTATTAGTTCTTACTACTTAAGTTTACTCCCTTAAAAATACTACTTATATACTAGGAGTAAAGGTTTACTAGCTATAAAAGCTAGTTATCCTTCCTATAAACCTAGCTAAACTATCGTACGTAACCTAAGCCTAGAAAGTAACTACTACTAGAAAACTATATATAATAACTCCTTACCTAATATAAGATTTAGCACTATAGGGAGTCGAATTAAGGGTGAATAATAATAATATATTTAGTATAGTATTATACTAATACTCTTCTTTAGTTTAGCTACTACTTCTTAAAAAAAGCCTATACGTTAATAAGTTATTACTACATATAAAATTTTTAAAAAATTAAAAATTACTATATCTACTATAACTCTATAGCGCGGGCTTATACGTATATAACTAAAGTTAGAAAGTAAAAACCTACCCTCTAAAGTATTATACTATAAGTATACCCGTACCTACCTCCTAGGGGGAGGCCCTACCTAACCTAGTTCTACTAGACGGCTATAACTATAAACCTAAGAAAATAGACTAAGATACCCCTATACCGCCCGGCCTACTACCTACTTAACTAGCTAATAAACCTAAGGAAATAGACTAGGATTTCCCTATAAGCCCTCTCCCCCTATTATCCCTACTACTTATCGTACTAGGCCTAATTAAGAAATAGTATACTATACTAAAGAGAACTATCCTAGTAGATACCTCTAAACCTAACCCTACCTACTAAGAAAAAAGGACTAGGTTTAGATTTCGTCTAAACTTTAATACTACCTAGGAGGTAATTAATATAGTACTCTCTTATATCCTATACGTAATAAACCTTACGTATAATATAAGTAAAAAGTAAAGACTCTATAACCTTAGTAACATTCTATGGGATTATACTAAGATAGGTTATATAGGTAATATATTATTAGTTCTTACTATATAAGTTTACTCCCTTAAAAATACTACTTATATACTAGGAGTAAAGGTTTACTAGCTATAAAAGCCGGTTATCCTTCCTATAAACCTAGCTAAACTATTATATATAACCTAAGCCTAGAAAGTAACTACTACTAGAAAACTATATATAATAACTCCTTACCTAAAGATAACTATAAAGCTAACTACTACTCCCCTAAAGACCCTATAGGATATATAGGTTATTATCTAGTAGTAAAGTCCCTTCCTAGACTTTAACCCTCTCTCTATATAAAATAATATTAATAACGCCTTTAAGAATATAGGTATATCTAGCCCTATTATGTTAATAGTAATATATATAGAGAAGGGTAACATCCTACTTACTAGCTTACCCTAGTATAACTCTAAATTCCTTACCTCCTATAAGGACCTCTTTACTTACCTTTTCCTAGATACTATAGTCTAGGAGAACTAAACCTAGTATAAGGTTATTACCTATAGCATCCCTCTTAAAGACCTATGCTTACTTAATATTAGATAATTTATTATAGAAGAGGTCTATACCTTTAATCCTAGCCTTTCTATTATTAGAACTCTATACTAGCTTACTTTAGCTAAAAGGAGGGCTACCTAAAAAGTAGGGTTAGTTATTATAGCCTTCTATATAGTAAAAGAGGTAGAGATAGCTATCTTAAAGCTATTCTATCTTATAGGAGTAAGTATAAGGGTTATAAAACTCCTTAGGATTACTCTAGACTTATAGTATATAAAGTATTAAGAATTTAGCTATAGCTCCTCTAGGTATTATAATAGGACTAAATACTTACTATATACTAGCCCCTATACTATAGAAAAGCATAACTATAACTACTATATAAAGAGAGGCATAAAATATGCCTATATAGTATTAAAGTATAGTAACTATAACGGTACTTATTACTCCTAGGACCTAAACTATCTCTATTATCTAATAAAGCTATCCCCCTAGCATAAATATTAGGTTACCCTAAAATTATGCTATTAGGGATAGTACTAGAACGCTATAGTAGAGCGTATATATAATCTACCTTACCTACTACTCTATACTATATTTACTTTTCTATATACGCCTTCTTCCTACCCTCCTTCCTTTTATTACTCTTACTTTATACTACCTATCTACTTAGATAATAGTAGGAAGGCTAGTTCTTAGCCCCCCCTTACCTAAAAAGAGCCTAGATAAACTATCTATCTATAATAACCCTATACTAATACTATACTAAGAATTATACTTCATTATATAAGACTCTTTAGCTAGGCATCCCTACTTACCTTATAAATATATATAGTATCCCCTATAGATAGCTCTATCTTAGATAGCCTATAGCTCTAGTAAGATATAAAATAATTAATTAATTAATTAATTAATTAGCTCTACTAGGACGTAAAATTAAATTAATTAATTAATTAGATAGTCTAGATACTCCTTATACGGTCTCTTAGCTATTTATATATAGGGTAGCCCCGTCCTAAATAGCTAATCGGCTCTACTAGGACGTAAAATTAAATAAAAAGAAAAAAAAAAATTAATCAATCAATCAATCAATTTTCTTTATGCCCTAAAGATTATGTGTATATATTTTTGTTTAGTTGCTTCTGTAGTTACGATAGCCGCCCGGCTAGCTCAATCGGTAGAGCGTGAGACTCTTACACCAGCTACGAGCGAAATGTGACATCTCAAGGCTGCGGGTTCGACCCCCGCGTTGGGCTCTAATCCCACATTATCCTTTTTTGACTTTTTGTTGGTGATGGAGGATGGATGAGTGAAGAGAGCCGTTTTAGGGTTATCTTTATTTATTTTCTTATTTTCTATTTTTTTCGGCTTTGTGTGTGGGTGGGGATGGACTGGAAGGAAGAAGCAGGGGGTGACAACACACTTGTGAGGAGGGAGTAAGTCTAAACGATGCAAGTTAACTAACTCCTTCTCTTCTTCCTCTGTCTTGTCACTTTTACATTCGCCTATATATTTTTTCTATTCTTCTCATTTTTTCTCTCTTTCTCCCTTCGTGCCCGGAATTTCTTTGGATGTTGTGTTCATTCACCCGCTGATTCACCCTCTCCACTTCCCCATCACTATAGCAGCGCTGCAGTCTCAATAGAGTATCTTCGTTCTGACCGCACACATCATCTTTCTGACGCTTTATGGAAAGTGAATAAAGACGATTTTTGGCTCTTGTCTGCCTGATCAAGTCTACGAGCGCCAACACCGTGGGAAAAAGGGTAAGGTAATGGTGATCGCGGGCAGAGTAGAGGGAAGATCGGGAGCATTCAAACGCTCCGCTCACTGTGAATGCTGTTACCCAAGGAAATGAGACTGCTGACAGGAGCTCGAGTGCCCCTCGCGGCCCTCATCCCCGTCTTTTCCACCCCCATCCACCCCTAACTCCATCTCAACCCATCTTACCCACCTACCTATCTCCGCACATCGAACAGCTCCTCTGCATTCTGCCGAAACACCCTCTCCACCACGCGCTCATCGCCTGCACACCACTCCAAGCAGCGCTCCACAAACGGGACGACGTCGTACCCCTCGAACCGCGTGTGCGGCCAGTCGGTCGCGAAGACGACGCGCTCGGGCGCAACACGGAGAAGTTCGCGCGCCATGGCGCTCGTCCACGGCAGCGCTGGGTCGGATTCGATGCGGTACGCGCCCGACAGCTTGACCCACGTGCTGCTCTTGCGGCAGCTGGCGCTGTCGCCATCACCGCTTAGCAGGCGGACGAGGTTGGCGAAGCCGGGGAGGGCGTAGGGGTCATGGGGTGCGGTTGCGGCCACCTTGGTCCCCTGATCCGCGCTCCCGCCGGAAATCGCCTCTGGCAGCGTCGGATGTCCCAGATGGTCAATAACGACGCGCACACCGAGCGGCGGGTCCTGACGCACGACGTTTTCGAGCAACGGCACGCTCTCCAATCCCAAGTACACCTGCACGGCCCAGCCGAAGCCGCGCACCGCGTCGGCCGCCGCGCGCAGCTCTCTGCCCAGCTCGCCGGCCGTCACAGCGCGTCCCACGCTCTTGAAGTTGAGCCGCACGCCGCGCACGCCGAGCGCGTGCCAGGCAAACAGCATCTCGGGCCCCGCGTCGGGCGGCAGCGTGACGACGGCGCGCGCGCGATCCGGGCCCAGCGCGCACAGCGCCGCCAGCGTGCAGCTGTTGTCGGCGCCGTAGATGGACGGCTGCACAATGACTAGGTTGGCGAGAGGCGCAAGGAGCGGGTGCGAAGAGTAAAAGGACAAAGCTTGCGGCAGCGTGTGGGCGGGCGGAGTGTAAATGGCGTTGGGAGAAAGTGGAAATGCGGCCGGGTCGATGAGGTGCATGTGTGCATCCCACGAGCCAGGGGGAGGCGCAGTGCCGTCACGTTTTTGCAGGAGCGGCGACGGCCTGGTTGAATATCGTTGATGAGATGGTCGAATGCTTCTTGGGCAAAGGCGAGGCGGAGTTGGGGCGCGTGTGAGGCTTGTCGAGGCATGCATCATGATGATCGGGCCGGCCTTGGGGCGCAATCGGCGGCCCTGTCCTGTGAGGACCCAAGCCATTTGGTAGGCAGTTTAGAATTTGTTTCTTTGCTTCAGAAGGGATAGTGGTCGTAAGTGGTGCAGCAGAGGTGCGGCAGATGCGGGGTTGACCTACCTGTGATGCCCCGACAGCTCAGGCATCAAGCCGAAGCCTGCTTAGCTGCGAAGGCACCGTGTTTCGAGGCTTGGTCATAATGGCAGCCAGGACGTGCGCAAGGGATGTCCTTACCTTGAGTCCAGCAAAAATAATTGCTCTGCATCTCATACAGCTGGGAACTGATTCTACGGTATCCGAGAAGAGAAAATTTCTCATCGCATCGGCAGACGTACATGGTACGCAACTTGTTCACCAAGCCCCCAGCCGCGCTTCCGAGTGTCGTTCTAGAAACCTTGAGCATGCTTGGCCTGCAACTAGCAAGTAATATGAAGGCACGCTCGTGGCCGGAATCTCAGGAGATTTGCGGAGTCGAGGGCAGGCTGAGGGTTGCAGCGTCGCCAAAGGTGGTGCCATGAGCAAAGTAACAGAGCAGGCTTTCCCCGCTCGAGAGGAGGAGCGATTAGGTTGGTTGCCACATGTCGCGACGGCAAAGGATTCTCTTGGTTGCCGAGCATTGGGAGAATTCGGCCGATGTTGGCAGAGTCGGTTTCTTCGGAAGAGCTGCCCAAGAAGTCGAGGCTGACGGCGGCGCGTCTTGGATCCTTTGGAATGCAGGCAGGCAGACAGGCAGGCAGGCAGGCTGAAGAAGCGTCATGACAGTCACGAGCAGCGTAGCGTTGTTGACCGCTTTTCTTCGTAATGGTAATAGTGGTACGCGTGACTGGCGGACGTGTTACCTTGCAGTGGCCACGGTCGAGGGCAAACGGGCGGCGTGGGACAAAGAGGTGGCCTGGCCGTGGCGAGACCTGCCGTGAGCGAGCACAACACAGGTGGGTGAGTCAGCCAAGACAGCCAACAAGAAAGCGGGTTATTCTCGGGCCCAGTGGGTGGCAATTGACGGCCTTTGACCGACTCAGCCTTCCCCTTTACCGTCAACCAAGTGCTGTGCCTGACCTACTGACTGCCCGCCTCACCGGCCAGTGACCGCAAGCGTAACGTAACAGGTGAACAGAAGAAAAGAGGCCAAAAAGGTGGCTAATTTCAGGAATATCATACACCTGCTGAAAACGTCCCATCCAACAAAGCCGATCCCAGGCCTACTGACGGGCTTAGCACGCCGGCACTCAGGTCGTCGTCTTCCGACCACGGTGAAAACGATGAAGGCCATGATGGCAAACGACCGATAATTGTATCGTAGGTAGGTAGTTAGATAGGTAGCAGCTGGCTGGGCCAGTCTTCGCACCAGCAGTCTTTCCTGTCCCTCACTCCCACCCACTCGCCTCGCACTCCCTCCGCTCCGGCTGGGACCTGGGAGCGCCGTCGGCGTCGCGGAGCCCATGGTGGCCCGTGCACTAGATGAGTGGCAGGGTCGACGGACGGGGACTCCAGTCATCGCTGGGCTTGCCATCCATATCAAAAAGCCCGCCACCCGCGCCGTGTAGTCGCTCTTCCCCCCCCCAAGACCAGAGTCACACACACATCATGGCCTTTGTCAAATCCTCCCCCGTCGTCTAGACTGGACTTGTCCTCTTCCAACTATTCTCCACTCCACTCCTCTCCTCTCCTCTCCCCTCCAGCTTGTCTGCCACTGCAACCTTCTGGCCACTTGTTTGCCTCCCGTCCGGCCTTGCCCGTTTACACCCAGTCAGCAGCCTTGTCTCATAACGCACCGACTCTCTTACCGCTGCGCTGCCGCCTTCTCCAACGACTCACTCCTGCCCGACTGCCTATCCCTCCTTGCTCCTTATAATCACTCTCCTCTCCGATTACTCCATCTTCACCTCGCCTAACCCCCTTCCGCTTGCCGACGGCCCTTGCCTCGTTCACTCGATCGCGACCGCTGCTCCGCAACACTCCACGTCTATTCACCTCGACGACGAACCCTCTTCACACGGCTCTGACGCGCCATTAATACCTCTCCGTACGCTCTGGCACGCGCTTGGTTGCTCTCGGCTACCTTGCGCATGGTGACGCCCGTCACCGCCTAACCTCTTACAAGCTCCACCACACAAGTCACAATGTACCCCAAGTCATACAAAGCGCCAGTCGTCATCAGTCGCCCAGAGATCTCCATCGGTTCGGATTCCAAGACCATCATCGTCCTCGAACGCGCTGTTCGTTACTAGTTTCCGCTCCTCCTTTGCGTCTTTGGCTCCGTCGGCATAAATCCCCGTGGTGCTAAACACTCGAGAGGTCTGGATTCCGTGTCGGACAAGGTCTCATTCTGAATATCTCTGTTGTGACGGCGACTGGACGCTTCTGCGGCTCAAGTTAAGCAGGCGCTCGTTGGTGAAAGCATCGACACACCTGCTCTACGAGGCCGAATCGTCAAACGCTTAGCAAAAAAAAAAAAAAAACTCCCCGACTCACGGCGGTTTTCGACATTCTACTCATTCTGGATTTGTTCTTAATTCCTGGCAAGGACTGAAAGCGTACAACGGCGCCTCTGGTTCCGCGTGCACCATCACGAGCATTTGGCGACCTTCCAAACGCCAAAATACACAAATTCCAGAAAGAGGAAGCTTCACTCGACATCCAGTCAGGTGCTGCATTGTCAGACCACTGAGCGGGTGATTACTGGCACTTCTTACCGGATTCCTCTCTCGGTCACCCCACGACCATCCAAAAGTTTCGACTTTCTGGCCCAAAAGGGACACTAGGTGCTTAAAAGCAACCTCTCCACTCACTCTTCATCTGCTTGCTGGATTTTGGTTAGTATACCCAGGCGTTCTCCAGTTACATCATGGGTTGCGACTTTCCCTTCGGCCAAGACGTCTCCCATCCCTACGGGTCCTCCGTTTCTTCTTCAGCCTCCTCTTCGACTTCTTCCGTATTATCCTTTGACACCGCTTCCTCCTCTTCTTCCATTTCTTCGGCTGCCACCTCGATCCATGGCAGCTGGGACTCGAGCGACTCATGGAGCCGCCCACAACCATTCTTTCAAGACACTGTCTGCACGCGCGCTGGCGAGTCTTTTGCAACAAGCGGCCACATCAAGCGGAACAATGTGTCGTGCCAAAATCAGGGCGTATTGCCTCCTCTGCAATCTGCCGTTGACGCTGCCCTTGCTGCAGAGTCTCGGCGCAACCCGCGCAGATGC